TAATACTTGGGTTTCTCATGTTTCACTCAAAAAGTGGGCCGTCACCGTAAGCCAATAATGATTTCTCCATCTAGGTCGCATTTATAGGAGCGGCACATGTCCGTTTTTCGTTTACACAACACTTTGCGGTCAACGGTTGATTCTTCTGAATTTACGGGAATAACGGATAAATGAGCTTCTCTGGTCTGACAGCAGACACTACCGTTGATCAATTAGCTGCTAAGGATGCGCCGACAGTTCGGTTCTTATCAACTGGAGTTAGATAGACCACTGACAAAACAGAACTTGCAAAAATACGGGTTCCCATATCTAATGAAGTCATTCGCGTGTTGAAAGGCCTTGTTAGGGTTCATTTTTTGGTAGCCGAACAAGTCGCACGTATTCATTTGATATCTATGATCCCAAAGACGGTTTCAATACCTCCCGTCAAAGGAGATTGAAACCGGTTAGAACTGAGGCAATAACCGCTAATGTTGTGGCACGCAGATTACTACCCTTATTATTAGCGAGGCTACACCGACTGATAATTCTTGAATTGATCAAAATGAACGATGACATACCATGGCAAACTGCTGCAAAGGTGTCTGCCACAAACAGACCAGAAAATCAGTTCTCCCTGCAAATGGTCCTTAAATACCAGCCCATAATGAATCACTGCTGCGTCCAAAATGGTCAATCATAAATCTACATTCAGCCCGATCCAATTTTTGAATGATCCCACCAGTGAAATTTCAGCTAATCAGGATGTGGATGGCACCACAAGAAACATGATCACGCTTCGCCGAATGTGTAGCCAGCAAAATGCTCGAAGTTGCTGGATTTACCTCAGGATTCCTGAGTCGGTGTGCAAACGTCATGCGATCCAGGCCGGATTCGCTGTCGCTGGACCGATATCCGGAGGCCTCGCCACGATAAGCCTGTTGCAGCTGGCTTGCCTCATTTATGGACTCCTAAGAAGCGTGCGGAACACCTCACATCTAATGAGGATATTTTCTACCAGGTGTTCCATTGGTGTTTTGGTTGTTGAGAGGCGCGTGCAATTCATCTTATGACTTGGCGATTCTTCTTTCCAGACCAAACGCACAATACAATCTAACGGTAGAATCAGAACTCAAGATACTCTACTGATCAAGCTATCAGCGAATGTGTTGGGATCGAGCCAGTGCACCAAGCTCCAAGGACGGAATTCCAGAACCATCAAATTTAAGACCATACAGGAGTTCAACCAAACCAGGAGTGCCAACAAATCCTAACACATGAATCAGATCGACCAGAATATACAACTCACAGTGAGGGTCGGCATAAGAAAGACCATGATGGACAAGGAAACAGTACTGCTGAAAAATAGTTATACAAACCAACCAATCAGACGCGAGAAAAATATAGCACAGAGCAATACAAATGGATCGATCAGATGAATTAATGGAAATTACCATCAGCGGAGAGCAGAGAATCAGCCAATCGAATCCAAAGAAAATATATCACGATGCAAACGGGCTGAATGAAGTAGTGAATGGGAACTATTGAGTTAGACGTCTAATGGACCATCTGAACACCAGGAAGGAAAGCAACACAATCGCAAGGGAGCAATCGGAACAAGGGATCAAGAGAACTAAAAGGGCGACATTTAACAAACTGACCAAACGCAGCAACGAGCACAACAGGATGTAACACATGTCACAAAAATTACCATAATACTACGAGTGCGTTAACCTTGAATTAGCCAGTTATCAGAGATGCCAGGTGAGCTTCAAAAGCCAGGAAAAAAGAGAAAATGCCCAACCAACCGCGCAATGATGATCCTTCAGCCCGCAACGATAAACTAGTTTTCTGGTTCCCCCAACGGATTCACAACTGGCGGATGTCCCCTAAGCTACAAATATTTAAACAAAGCGGACTTGCAGGATTCACTAAAAATGTACTAACAAGTCTTCAGCTTCGTACCCTTAAAACATGAACTAAAAGTTCACGTTGCACGAGAGGATCACCCATTAAATTAGGCTTAATGGCTCTTCAGGGTCGTATGCACTGTCAGTTGTGTACATTCTTCAAATGAAGACTCTGTGACAGCAGTAGCCGCCTGTCACCTATCTGCGAAATCCAATTACCTAACTCGATCACGGTAAGCAACTAACTTCAATTACAAGTTCTTGGAAAATGCGGTTAGGTGGAACGATCAAGAAGCTCACATTAAACTGGGCTTCAAAATTTTAGAAGTATTTGTAGCACTTAATTTGTCGTACCTGGAAAACAATACATCTGGCTTTCCAGGATGCAGACAGGAAGGATATGCTCCATTTATGTGCAGTCAGCTACGGAAATGCGTGCGAGCTAAACGTTCTTCTTGTGATTGGTTAAAAACTGATGCCATCTGAGAACGTTTGTATCCATCGGACTCGAACAACATACCCTAAGATCCTGAATGCTGTTAAACCAGTTTGAGTATACAGAAAGTGACACCACATAAAAGGAGTGTAAAGGTCAAGATCTAGACGCCATCTGAGAACGTTTGTATCCATCGGACCCGAACAACATACCCTAACATCCTGAATGCTGTTAAACCAGTTTAAGTATACAGAAAGTGACACCACATAAAATGAGTGTAAAGGTCAAGATCTAGATGTAGACAGTTCTCGAAACCAACAGTTGTTTACTCCTTGATGTCTACGACGTGACGATTGTTTGCTGATCTCAGGGTAGCAAGTATTCATAGGTTCCATAGGTTCTTCTAGTCCGAATGGGATAGTGTTGTCAGGTGGAGCAACCACTGAAAGCCAGTTATACTGTAAGCAACTTGATTTCGAATTCATTGAGCAAAAAGGCCCTCATTCTTCAGAGGGCTGATACAAAGAAGTCACATGTACGCGAAACCCACTCATTTGCACATCGATTTGGTTGAGACCGGAGACTCAACTAAATGTCTTATAATATTTCATAGCTGAACTTGCTGCACAAAGATACTCGAGAGATTGCAGTATATTTGTTTGAAGCGCTACTTTTCATGAGATTGCTGTTAGACAGTTGTCAGCAACCTTATAAGTAGTATCCCTTCAAGTCGTACATATCTTTTAAAAAAATGATGGAGGGTTGCCATCGGAACGGAGAACTACACTACACATTCATGTATTTTCATTGGAGGCTACTACAGCAAAACTGATTTTGGGTGCAGAAAAACCCTGGTCTCCTTCAATTTTACTATTCCATTTCTCCGATAGCAGGCCAGCAGCCCATTACGCATTTTGATGCCAAGGTTGGTTCAAAAGTCACCTCCCTTCGGCGATATGTAACATGCTTAGGTAGACTGGATATTGCGGAGTATGGAGAAACAATAGGTGTCTAACGACGTTGTCAACTCCATGCAAATACAAACAGTTTGTGCATCCAACTTTTCCTCTTTTCACAAAAGCCTGGCTACAAATTAAACGGTCTTACTAGGCCAAATATTTCGATATTTACACAAAACAGATTGTGTGGTGTCACCCATTAGAAGGACCGAAATCACAGTGGAGCAGGTAGCCAAAGCCCACTGTATTCCACATGGAATGTTTTATTTGATTTTTTAAGGCAGGTACACTCAATCTTGCGGGTAATCCATCCATTAGTACGACAAAATGACATCTGTGTTCAGCAAATGCTCATGTGAGTACTATATCAGACGGTGCTTGTGGGTTTCCTCTTTTCTGTGACGCACTGAGGTCTGCTATTGCACGGACAGCGATGGATCATCGGAATGGTTGCAGGTTACTTGGCATTTGTGGGGACGGACATGTCACACATTTGCAAATAGTAGTATGCAAGTAGACGGGCAAGTTTATCCGCTTGGCAGATATACTAGTGACCATCTAGGCTGCCTGAGTCATTGAATTCTCCTCAGTAACAAGTAGGCAATTCGACACTGTGACATACATAAAAAAAACTCAGGACAGTTCGTGTTCAGACGAGATCTTCCCTTCAATGTGAGAATCCACTCCGGCATTTCCACTGCCAAATTGACAACACCGAAATGGTGCCACGACCGAATGATCTGGCTGATTCTTATTTTCATCCTCTATTCTAATTCGGATATGCCACTGGAGCGGTGGCAACTGACTTAAGGGATCATTGCGCCCTCACGGAGAGGCTCCAGTTAACGTTTGTTTTCATCTCACTCCTGCCCTGCAACCATACTGGAGCGCACCAAATTCCCAAAAGGCTAAAGTAGTTGGGGATGTGATGCTGAACGGCGTCCACTTTAAAACAAACCTAGCGGGGGCTTCAGCTGACATCCCTGGAAAAATGATGTCTTCTATGTTGGTTTGGGCGGCTGGTGTGAGAGCCAGGCAGACTGAAGTACGCAATATAAGGAGACCCTGAATTATAATGTGCCGAATGGAGAGCGTCAGAGGTTTTGGTTACTCCGGAGAGGTGGACAGTTATCCTCATGGCAGCAACGTGCTAACTACTGGTATGTTCGAATTCCAACACTTCTAAGCACATTAAAATTGGTGTGCGACTGGACATCGGTAAACAACCAAGGGTTAGGAAAACCACTGCTTCAATAACGAGGACCAGCTCTTCTATCACTTCTTGTTGTTCGTTCTGGCATGCTCCGACAGATGTCCAGCAATCACGCCGCTATAATACGGCTGTCGTGACAGGAAAGATGATACGTAACACAGACTGGTTCTGGCGCGCCACGCGGTCTAATAGTCCTTAAACAAACTTGTGGCCCAGGTCACAATGTCAGTGAAGCCAAGTCTTGATTCATCACAAGAGAAATATAGCCAGGCTGATGAGCCTCCGAAAAGACCAAAGCGGTGTTGTACCGTTTAAGAGTTTTGAGCAATCCAAAAAGTAGTATTATATCAAGAAATTACCGCTGTTTTGTTGCGACACTCTTACTCTTGACAAATGGGCATTGGTTTTCCAATAAAGAACGTCCATGAGGCCTCGATAACTTCAGAGGTGTGAACTGGTTAGGAAAATCCTTTCATTATTGTTCTTCCAAAAATTAGCAATGCTAATACAAAGTAGCAGTTGGAAACCGACTATACAGTCGGTCAGGTTGTACCGCACATGGGTGCCTTTCAGTAACCGTCAGGAAATCTGAATAACCGAGAGAGCTTCTAAACTCCACATACATGACGGCGATGTCAACAATGACACTAATGTCGTAAAAAAGTCCTCTCAGCAGTGATGTTCTTTCAGTGCACCGCCGCTATTCAGTAGGTAGAAGGCACAAGTGATGGCAGGTCGTCCGGATTCGAACAAGAGCAATCAAATAAACAGGTATGGATGGATATTATTCACAGTTTTTTTCCGTTAGAAGCCCGTGGGTGCTTCACAGTAGTAAAGTGTTCGATTGTCCCCGTTTGTTCAGCAGAGGGCTTTCAGTATGCATCACAACGAAAAGGTTTGACGGTGAACCCCAGCTCTAGTTCTAAAATACTAATAGCTGTAGAGACAATAAAGATGTTTGGCAATTCTTCAGTTCTACACATTTTACACAAGTGTGCTCTCTCATATGAGTGGAAAGAATGCGCTGTCGGTGTCATTCCGAACTACGATGCGTTTTACTTACGTCCCATTTTATTGGTTTTACAAGGCCTAACAATTAATGGGTAACTTTATCAGTGAAGACCTCAAAGCAACATTTAGCTGTCCCGGACGACTCGAGGGAAATCAGTCCATCTGTTTGGTTTCGAACGGAAGTATTTCCATTCACCTTTCCGACTCCTGAATTTCTCACATTCCAACACATCCCCGAAATCGATTGCTTCCGAGACAGGACTGAGCATGAGGGGAACATCAGCAAGATGGGCCAATGCGTAAATGTGGCATTATACACTTCCAGCAAGTATTTTGGATGGCTCTCTCAGAGTGTTCATTTTTGGGTCGCGTTAACGGTTAGAACCTTGTTGCCCGTTGTTCAACTACAAACCATGCGCTAAAATTAGATTGGTTCAGTTTCGTCATCGGAGTCGGAATTGATACGAGAAACGAACGAATACAGTCACCAGCACTTTGACAGGAGAATAATGGCATGGCTAGTGAGATGCAGCTTAGACGACTCATCTGTTTAGTTCTTGAGGGAAGAAATGGTTCCGTCCTAATGTGATACTTGGGCATTACTCGCAAGCTACCGGTTCCAGTGAAGGAAGCAGATGGGTCACATTTAAAATGGAATAGTATTTTCAATGAGTCTGTACAAGAAAGTGAAGAGGTGTGATTTCAAAGATGCGCTAACTGATCCACCAGCACGTGACGCCCAGGCCATCAGAAACCACAGATCCCTAAAAGAGAAAAGAAAACGATGACCTAGTGAAGGCAACTGGTAAATTGTTTCGGTGGAAAAGTCAAGAGTGACCATCAGTAATAAATGTTTGTCCTGTGGGATCATTGAAACGAAACAGGTTGAAAATCTAGCACATAAAACGGAGTCGGTAGGTTCCGTAGAAATCAGAACACATGGATAGACTGTTAACACTGGCTCAACCCTGACAGCGCAAAACTGTCATCCATATCAAAGTAAGTAGAAAAAATTAGGTTCTCAACTTGTCCAGGCCCGAACAAGAGCAGCTGAAATGCCGGAATCGGGTTCTGTCATTAATTATATCGGACTAGCCACTTATGACAGTTGTTGTGTTAGATAACAGATGTTACACGAAACAGCCAGGATAGTCAGTGGTGCCCGAACAATCACACCGCTTGCCTCTTCAGACGCGAAAATTTGAAATCGTTCGGTATCAGATGTTGAGATAGTGGTAACACACTTGCCCCACATAGCAGAGATCCGGAGTTCAAATCCCGGCACGACCACAGATGTGCACTACATTGTGGCTCCTTCTTCCGTTTTGGTATGCACTAACCGAATCAATTGCACCAAGACGGAAGCAGGATTGCTCAAACGACTGGTACTGAATCCCTCAATAACTCACAGGATACTCTGCCCTCAATTCCTGATACTACATACACATCTAATGAACAACTAAGAACATATAGGACGTTTACTACCGGGATTATGAGTGGGATGAAGGTTGTTGGGGGAATTTTCTACATTTGGCCACTTCTCTGAAAGACTGCTAAAACCCGGTTACACCAGACGACTGGTAATTTCAACTTATGGATGTCCTGCCTGTGTTCCATCCGGTCGTTGTAACCTAGGCTATTGTGCTATTTCACGCGTCTGTCTGCGTTATCTGACAGGAAGACTCTGTTTATTGACCCTACGATGAGCTTGGATATGCAGCTACTATTGATAATTCTATCACAGAAATCAGCCAATTGAATTTAAGTTAGTGTTTCGCGAGCAAATGTCAACTGAAAGGTGCGTACCCAACTATGTGCCGTATAAGTTCACATTGCTAAGCCTCGCGTGAAACTGTGTTCGTTATAGCGAGTTCGGATGCTGCACCTATCACTGGTAGTCTTCCATCGTTGCCATTCACTGATTCGATTCCAAAAGAACCCAATATCTTCAACAAATACAATCATTTGCGTATCAGCTGGGTTTTCAGGGGAGATTCAACTGACTCGCACGTTTATGATGCTGTTCAACTGAATGAACAACACATAGGCCGTCTTCCGTTTCAATTGGTAAGATATTCGATATTGCTGTGTATTTTCATAAAGGAAATTACTCACAGGGTTGCTGAAAACTCTTCGACCCTGTGAGTAGTTTCACTTATGGGAATGTATAACGATATCTCCAATATATCGTACCAGCTGAAACATGGGGCGGTCTTCGTGCAGCACATTCGGTTGAAGAACATCATAAACGAGAGATTCAGTTAAGTTTCCCCTGAAAATCCAGTTGATATGAGTCTATCTCTCGAAAACAGTACAATTTGGTTTCAAGTAGAACGTAAGGTTGACGGAAGCTCGGGGACTACGCCTACCTGATGGGCCCCAAGAAGGGCGGAACCGGTTGTAGGCTGTCAAAGAGTTTTCAGCAACCTTGTGAGTAGTTTTCTTTACTGAATCAGATATCTTCTTTCAGGTTTCTCAATCATTACCAACCCGGGCATTGAAATCGTCTAACAGGAAAAGGGAATCACTTGAAGATGCAGATCTGATCAGGTCAGAATAACGTGAGCAGTATAAGGCAGGCCTGCTTTATCACTGCTCGTGTCCATGTTGAAATCTGCATACGTAGTTTCACATCCCGGATGGAGGGGATGCATAAAATGACAAGCCTAACAAGTTTGGCTGTTCCCAAGTACGACCCAAAGTGCTTCTCTGCTCACAGAATCGAAGGGCTTTGTGAAGGAATAAGATGTATATTGGTTGGTTGCGTCCATGAACTGTATGTCTCATTGAGAAAATGAAACCAGGGATACATCATCCACTTCGGAATCCCCACTGTTCCTCTGGAACGATTTCACCCAAAATCCCTACGTTCATCCGTTTCGCCAGAATTCTAGCCAGGATTTTGCTAGCACTACATAGTAGTACAATTCCATGGTAATTGTCTACCTTCCGTTTGAACAGAAGCACTAAGGTGGCATTCTTGTATTCATATGGAACACAGCCTCCCATATTGAGTGGATTAGATGAAGCAATTTCGTTCGTAGTTCTTATTCACTAAGCTTAAACATTTCGACGGAGAATCCACTAGTTCCACAGACTTTCCTGCCTTGCACATGCGAAACTGCTATTTTTTGGGCTGTACAAGGTTGAAATACCGCCAGTATGTTTCTTCTCTGTACGTTACAGTATTCAATTCAGTTGCACCCATTCGATTTGCGAAGGGCTGTTGAGTGGTGTAGACAAGTGGATCTTCTACACACGCATACATTCTAGGTCTTTGATAGATCCAGATTTTATAGAGGAGTTGCAGATGTTGGTTTTGTGGTCCACAAACTGTTTCCAGTGCTCTAGAAAGCTCTTCATTAGGACAGGGGTATGCGCCCAACTGGACATTTTCACTGCGCTGCAGCCGCCACTCATTCTAAGGCTCACACAAACTTTCGATGAGACAGTTTCCTGAGGTTTGAAATCCTGCTCATGTGATAGAGCCTGACAACTTCAACATTCTACTGAAAGTTGAATTCCTCTGCTCAACTATGGACGGAATCGTATTGAGATACTTGTCAAGCCAATCCCTTCGCACTAATCCATTAATTCCAATTACCTCCAGTGCATTTTAGTCCATTTTTTATTCACGGATTCTCGTAGAGTTGGTTCCGTCCGTTTTTGGGAAATCAATCCTGAAATTTCATTACATATATCTAGCCTTTCGTTGGACAACAGTGTAATTTTCTCAGGGTGACACGCCTCTTCGCTAGTACCAAGAGTGGAACCTGTTGAATTCAGCATCATGCACGACTTCGGCAAGCATTATGTTTCTGAAATCTTTTTTTCGGGTAATAATATGGTCAGTAAGATGTCTCCATCCAATTCTGGTGCTAGTGAGATTTTCCTGGACCAAACCACGTGTTAGTAATGGTCAACCCTAAAGGTGCACACAGAAAAAAAACGTTTGTCATCATCATTGACTGATCAAATTCCAAGGGGCCCCAGTATTTCTTTCCTTCTGAATCTCGGTCGACCAAAGCAGTAACATTTCCCACTAAGGAAGGATGGTCACTGGCGAGTATTGACTGAGTGACTTTTGATGGCTATAAGACTCGCTTTTTTACCCTTCAGAATGGGATTCACAAACTTAGCGAAATGCCGTTTTGCAGCTTGATTCAAATTAACAGCATTCTGGGGTTGATGCAGCTTGGTTTACCGACAATTCCTGCTAACAAGTTTCTGGATGGGGCAATTCCAACTGCCGAATGTCTTTTGAAACTACTGTTCGGCTCTGTTTCGCTAGTCTTGTCTCATGCAACATCAGCGTCAATACTGTTGCTGTTTGTGCCTTGGCAACAAGCACTGTCAGCCTTTGACCTCTGTCACTATTCTCCCTATCTGATGGAGTCCAGATTATCCAGGTTCCAAGCTTGCGTTGTCGAGTGATGTTCCTCCTTAAGCCAGATGCCTTTCTCAGTGTTAGCAACGGATGCAGCCGAATCTCTAGTCTTTGATATTCCTCAAGTGGACGTGTTGCCACCTCACGTTACCAGTAGAGATACCAAATTATACTTTCTCGACAGAACACGCTACTAATGGGGTTGTTGAAAAGTTTTGACAACGCACCACCGGTTTAGTCTTCTTGGGGCTCATTGATAGGCGCATTCCCCGAGTTCCACTAACCTTATGTTCTAAAGAAAACCAAACTGTACCCAGTGTTTATGAGTACAGTTCCTACAGAGCTAGAAGAGTAACTTGGATTCTGTAGACGATAAAACATAATGTCAACCGTATGGATGGTGGTGCAAAATAGAAGGCAAGCATGGTATATCGTAGGCAACATGAGAGGAGGAAAGGCGACCAGCTTACGATTATTGTGTAGGCGACATTGTGGGAAAACTGGTCTTCGTTTAGGGAATCTGCGACTTCGGAAGGATCTTGGGTAGCGCCGGGAAGTGTTTTAGGTCCATCTGGATTTGGATCTTGCCAGATTTCTTCAACCACTCGAAAACTGCGGGCGACAGGTGAACAAAATGCTATTGGCTCGTAAGGCAACAAACAAACAGGAAATACGGGGCAAGAAACGCAGTTGAAATCAACCTGTTAGTTCAAATAATCCTTTGCATCACTCTTCACTTAAGGTATTGATGATATGGGTGGCGTTGATCACAGACTAACCGCTGGTTAAGTACACTTGATTCCTCGTGTTCCCTGCACAGTGGTGCGAAACGCGTTGTGGGAACGGGTGGTATTTTAGAGAGGTAGACAGGTAAAACAAGAGTGAAAAAATCGGACGGAAGTATGGTAAGTGTAGGATCCGAGGTGGCTGTACGTATCCCAGAGTAACGATTAATAACGGCGCCTCCGGGTTCACGACTCCCTATTTCAATAACGCCAATACACAGCAGAGTCTTGTATTAAATGGTGGGTCAGTGACCATACGAGTACCGGAGCGACAGAAAAGTGGTAACCTAAAATCAAACTGAGGAAATAGTACAAGGGGCGTACTCAGCAGAGGGCAGTGGAGAAATTATAAGCTTATAAGCTTATAATGATGTCACACGTACACCATCGGCAGTGCAAGTGGACAAACGCCCCTGGAACGGTTTCGTTTCGCGCTTTGCCAGACCATCGAAAATGACAGAGCTAACAAAGTAAACAGTTTCGTCTACTGCTCCATCGGCAGGCATGATCCTAACCAGTATTGCAGCAGTGTTCCACACGGCGCAGATGTGTATACGAAGCTGTGAAAATTGTTTTGGCCATATGAGACACCGTTTGTGTTTTGACAGCGTCGGGTTCGAGAACAGATGGGTTACGAGCACACCCTACATTCCAGAAGCATTTCAATCCAACAAGCCTGTCTAAGCTTGGGCAACCTGGTAGTATTCCATCCCTCGTGCCTACTTTGTGTGGCATGGCAGTTAGGCACCGAAAGAGTGCTACTGCTGGACGACGTTTTAATTAGGCTTATAAGCGTTATTGAAAGCGACACTCAAATCTGCAGTGAAAGTAAGTGGAAATGCGGTTAGCTGGACACACGCGTGTGCCAGTGACTAACAGTTTGAATTGGGTGGGACATTGCACAAGGCAGGAACAGACTGTTACTAGACCCAAGAATCGAAAAATACATTAATGGATAGCCACTCGATTGATAATGGCATCCCAGTGATACGGACGTTCGTAAGTGCGTGTTGTTACTTTGTGCCTGGTTGCTCCAACCACCCCACCCAACCCCCCAAAAAGGCGAACGAATGAACTGAAGATGTAACGGTCTGGCGCTGTATCGCGCTAGGTAAGCATAAGAGGAAACGGATACTGCTGCCGTCGGTAAGTAGGCTCGGAGTGGAATAGAGCAGCGAGATAAAACGTCGTACACCATTCATGCCTACTGTTTTGGCACGCGATAAATCTGATTGTGATAAAAGCAACTTGATAGTAATGAAATGTTGTAGCCTATATAAAAAGAGGGACTGGAGTGGAATTAAAATGGGCCATTCGTAAGTAGTTTATGAAGACTCACGCTTCGTAACTTCATCAAGTGTCGGTTTCGAGAGGACTCTACGGTAACCATAAATGAGAATTTATTCCCTTTTTATTGTTTTCCAATTGACGACCCGATAATACTGAAGGTGTGGTCCCGAATTCAACTGAAAATGCTGCCCTTTATCTTTCAAATAGGGCCTGCTGGAAACCAGTGAAATGCATCGTCCCACACTGTTATTCTTTTATAAAAAACAGGAACTTCTAGCAGTTCAGGTCAGGCACAACAATGCAGCTGGAGATAAAATCAGTGAAAATGAAGAAAAGTTTTAGTATACGCTACTACTAGGTTAATTTTAGCTTTCAAAACGAACTGCTCTACACTTTTCCGTACTGAGTGAACCGACAAGAAGGACGATACGGTCACTTCAAGACATTTTAACAAAGCTTAACAACACCTGCTACATTTTGGTCATGTCCAGGCGTTCTCCAATGTTTCCCAATAGTCAGTCCAAAAGCCTGGCTGGTTCCTGCCTGAAACGGTTGCACTTTAGAAATGGTAAACTAAAATGCACCATTGCCTTGATTCAGTGGCATCAGCGGGTGCTGCCATAAGTCCTTTAAAAGCACACCTGTTACTAACAGTCGCTTCCCAATTCACCTCTACTAGAGTTATCAAAAGGTGTGACTTTCCTTACGCGCTTGTTTCGCACGTATGCCGTTAACACACCGGCGCGAAGTGTCACGAGCTAATGGGCAAACACATCAACATTGGAGAAATAAACGCAGTCGGTTCATGTCTCAAACGCCGATATAGCGATTATCCTGGTTGAGACCACGCCAGAAAAGAGAGATAAAAGTAGCATAAATCGGGAGTGATATGAAGATAATTTCACACAAGGTGTGTTGTACACATGACGCATACCGGATTGTGTCGTTCTTATCTATCCGTAATTCTGCCGTCTCCCCTTCGTAATCATATTCCCATATCCACGAACTTTGTTCATAATCACTGGAACGAAACAGAGAGTTTGGTACGTGGAACTCAGGACTAACAATTTCGAAGGATGGCGTAATTTGTCCACTGGGATATAAACCTCGTCGAAAAAATTCAACGACACACGAATTCCGCTTTTCGAGCATGACTTTACCGTACCCAAGAGAACCTCACCAATTGCCGGTCGAAAGCAGACGAAACGAAAAGTTACTAAAATAGGACCGAATAAACAATGGCTGGATAAGGTAGAACACCTACTAGAATCTTACCTGCAGTATGATAGGCACCGTCTACATCAGATATGAAGCTTTCTTGAACTTCCACTAGGTCCCACAGCGAAATGCACAATCCAACTTTGTACACAAGCTTAAATGGAATACAGGACAAAGAGTGTTAGAGGTTGCAATATCAGCGCATGCCCTGTCCCAAGATTAGTTTAGAGAGCAAAACAACGTTTAGTGTATGTATTGCAAACTTTTCATAATATCCATAAGTAACACCCACGAATTTCGTGAAAATACGAGGAGGTGGATCATATGAACGTGCAAGTTCGGAATGTGAAACAATAACAACATTTTCCCAACCAAATTAGAAGTGTGATGTGATTATAAGGATTTGGGCGTAGGAAAGACGCTTAGAGGAGCAAATTTGCATGTGACCGGAGAGGGTTCCAGAAAAGTTGCTCTGAATAAGTGAACATACGCTCCACCATAAAGGACCATCGTTCAGCGTTGCCCCTTTCTGGTGCCTAGCTGCCATGCCAATGGAAGGAGGCACGAGGGCTGGGATACTGTCAAGTTGCCGAAGCCTAGACAGGAGCAGTAGTGATGATAAGGTTGGGTTCAGACCACGGACCTTCCGGTCTGCAAGCTGGTGCTTTAACCGCTGAGCTGTCTCAAGCCTTCGATCATGGATTCTAATGTTCCTTTGGGCTGTTTGCAAATAAAATGAATTCACAGCGTGGCGTATTATTATTACTGATTACAAGGCCAACGAGAGAATGACGTGAGTTATTCTCAAAAAAGGAACAGCTGTCCCAAAGTTGAATGTTCAGTAATCGTCCTCCATGATCCAAAGGACATAATGCAGGTTAAAATATAGTGAAATCAACTAAGGGTTCGCAAACTCTTAGTGAGAGCACGTTGCGGAATTCTAGACAAGATCGATCACGGCTGTCATTCGATATGGTGAAGTACCTTCAAGCTGAAATAGTTTTCGGTTGATCTACGCTAAAACGATCGCCAATCGAGAAGAATTGCAGAGCAGAAAAGGTTATAGAGCAGTATCGACTTTGGAACCAAACTTAACGATACTATAGTGGAGTGTGACAAAACTACTGTATATGTTGATCTCAAATAGAGGCTTGCCACGCGGCTATACTCATCAGAAGGAGATATCGTGCGGCAACATTGGGAAAGGGGTCTATGAGGGACACTTTTTCCTGACAGCCGTTGCCACCGTGCTTGATGGCCGATTAAGTAAAAGGCCGCATTCAATCAAGGAAGATGACCGGTGATTTTGCGGAATGTGGGTAGCTCGGGTACGCTATGTGGTCGTTGGTCTGTTCAAGGAAGCATCGTCAGTGCAATGAGGATGTTTCCTCGATTGAAGTCGAAACGTTTTCAGTCCAACTGCTAAGCTTGGCGAACAAACAACCAAGGAAGACCACCCTACTGGGCGAAAAACAGCTGGATACCCACTAGGGTTTTACTTTCTATGATCCCTAAGCTTGTGTAAGGCAAGACCGAAGAGTACCTGTGAAGCGAAACCTAGCTGAATGTGTGTTGTGATGATTCGTACAGTGTTCGCGTGCCCTGTTTAATGACTGTGGTAAATGGTGAGGTTTTCCGCTGTGAACATAGTTTTCCTTCACTCCACATAGCACGAATTTTCATCTGACAAGTTCTAGGCACAAGACGGAAAAGCAGTGCAAACGCAATTCAATTCACCAACACGTAGAAATAAAGCTCACCTTGTTCGCGAACCGCGCATTTAGCTCGTGTTCGATGGTTTCCTTCAGATCAGTACCAAAGTATTTCGGGTGGATAACTACTGTGTCCTTTAGCTTTGCCAAAATGAACATAGATACAGGCAGAATCGGGGCAAATCTGGAACAAAGACGCAGCGAGTCATTTATCAGCACTATCACCGCAGTCAAGTTCGAAAAACAGCCGAGATAATGCCACATTCCGACACTTACCTAACCTTATTTCGCAGTCGACCCCTAGTGGGGAGGTAGTCATTAACAGGGAACTCTCATGCAGGCGTTAACACAAAAATCACTTGATCTCAAGATGGAATAAGTAATTCGTGGTTTCCTTATCACGTCAGCGTGAAATCCCACGGAAGGGTATGTTCAAATATTAGGAAAACCCGTGAGCAACGGGCAGAAATAGCACATTACTCTATCGATAAAAGGGCGGTAGCTTCAGTCCACCAACGCGCCCACCATTTAATGATGCCCTATTGTAGCTACTTGAAGGTGGACGACCCAACAAATGGGTTGGGGGAGCGAACCACATGAAGACCTCTACGGACAAAAGCGTGAGCTGTTGACGGTAGCAGGAACTAGCACGAAGTCCAAAATGAAAAAAAAACGGAGAAAATGAGCCTTGGGCAAGTTGCGAGTTTGAACTGCAGGTAGTTACCGTTACTGCGGAAGTTACTGTAGTTTAAACCTAGGACCGACTATGTCTAGACGTGAGTAACCTTAATTATGTCAGTCCTCGTGCTCCTCTTCGATGCACCGAACAACCGTCACAACTTAACGGATGGGGAAGAGAGTAGAACCCGACACAACACTACTTACAAGATCAATAAAAACTAATCATAAGGTAACTACGGGCTTCACTCTTCTCGAGGCTCATCAGGGAGGCTAACCCAACCTCCGATTTGACATCAGTCACACTCATAAGCAAGTAAACTGCAATTGGGTAGATACCTCCAATTATGTACAAATTAATGTTTTCCTATGTAATAATGCCGATGAAAATTCAGGGACTAGGAGTGTTTGATGAGCCACAAGAAGGGCGAAACCGTAAAAAAAGCTGTAGAAAAGTTTCCACAAACTTTGTAAGTAGTGCTATCCAAACAAAAATACTCCGATATCTTGAATACAATTTAGAAGAAAACGCAAGTCAGAATATTTAGTTGAGTCTTTTGTTGACACTAAAAGTAGGATATTGTTTGACAGGGACAACATACACGTCATCATTGAGGTCAATTTCGGGTATTCGAGTGGGATTGTTGTACAATCCTTAAGACTCGTCTCAATAAAACTCCCATTTGTATACGCTGCAGGTACAAATTGCTCGTAAGGGTGAAAGTAGCTTTCACGGCCACAGGACTTCAGCTTGTCTATCAAAGACAGAGTAAAGGCCAAGATAGCGTGATTCGGACTGTTCGTAACGAACAGACTGAACCCTACCGAGGTACGATGGTTGATGTGCCTCCTTGACCCATTGAGCTATACTGGAGGGTATCCGTGTGACATTCGCAGCCTTTCATACCAGGTTGGTCAATGGTTAGATCAACAGTCTATTGATCCACCAGGTTTTGGGTTGGAACATGTGGGGTGGCACTGGGATTTTTCGCCGAATACCGCTTTCATCAGGCTTTTGAACCACATGCCTTGATTGAAGACTATTCGTCCTGTCTAGGTCTGTCACTCTGGCAGCACAAACGAGTACAGCCACAATTCTCACATCAACCGTCACCTGGTGTCGTCAGCCGAGTCGCTTTAATTGCTGCATCCAGCATGGTGGGTGAGCAAAAAGAAGCTACTGCTGACGCCCCTTTTCCTTACCCATAGGCTTTTCCATTTTTCCTCTCCAACCCTATTAACAGTACTCTTCTTGTAGGCCCATCCGTTATCAGTGGCGATCCTGTTCTACTTGCATTGATCTTGGACACAAGACCTGCGGAACAGCCGGCACCGACAGTCACAGGCATCTCGAAATCATTCATCACGCCTCGACGCCCAGTTTGTCCGACTGTGTTTATTACTCGCACTATGAAGCAAACAGGACGACAAGTTGGCCTTGCTCCCACATTGGACTCGCTTGACATTGATGTGCACTGCGTATCAGAGACAAGAAATCAACAAGAATAGTTGCTGAGATAACTGTCACGCCACTCTCCACCTGCTTTCGTCTGCGCACTTCTGGCGATCCATAGGTCACAGTGGCATGATATGCATGGGTCGGTATCGGCCTAAGTCAACAGCTTGAAGAACCCTCACAAGTGAGAGGCTTCTGCTTACGCCCCAAACGACTGTAGCCCTGACACTATCAAAGAAATTTTATGACACCCTCAGTGCCCGTTAAGGTGAGCTAAAACCTAAGATATCGTGGTAATTTCTGGGGACTTGAATGTACAAGTGGGCAGACATAGCGTATCTGAGACTTATCGGGTGATCGACTTAGATTGCACTCGGCGCTTACAACCAATGAGGGCCGACTGCTTCATGTGACTGCAGATTGCTTTTGTGCACTGCTAACTTCCGAAATAACGGCAGTCGTCTGGTAACATGATGTCATCCAGCAACGTGTCAGCCACGGACCCTGATTGATCACATCATCACGAGCTACCAACGGCGCGGATCAGTAACTAACTGCCACTAGAGTAGATTCCTTGACCCATTGAGCTATACTGGAGGGTATCCGTGTGACATTCGCAGCCTTTCATACCAGGTTGGTCAATGGTTAGATCAACAGTCTATTGATCCACCAGGTTTTGGGTTGGAACATGTGGGGTGGCACTGGGATTTTTCGCCGAATACCGCTTTCATCAGGCTTTTGAACCACATGCCTTGATTGAAGACTATTCGTCCTGTCTAGGTCTGTCACTCTGGCAGCACAAACGAGTACAGCCACAATTCTCACATCAACCGTCACCTGGTGTCGTCAGCCGAGTCGCTTTAATTGCTGCATCCAGCATGGTGGGTGAGCAAAAAGAAGCTACTGCTGACGCCCCTTTTCCTTACCCATAGGCTTTTCCATTTTTCCTCTCCAACCCTATTAACAGTACTCTTCTTGTAGGCCCATCCGTTATCAGTGGCGATCCTGTTCTACTTGCATTGATCTTGGACACAAGACCTGCGGAACAGCCGGCACCGACAGTCACAGGCATCTCGAAATCATTCATCACGCCTCGACGCCCAGTTTGTCCGACTGTGTTTATTACTCGCACTATGAAGCAAACAGGACGACAAGTTGGCCTTGCTCCCACATTGGACTCGCTTGACATTGATGTGCACTGCGTATCAGAGACAAGAAATCAACAAGAATAGTTGCTGAGATAACTGTCACGCCACTCTCCACCTGCTTTCGTCTGCGCACTTCTGGCGATCCATAGGTCACAGTGGCATGATATGCATGGGTCGGTATCGGCCTAAGTCAACAGCTTGAAGAACCCTCACAAGTGAGAGGCTTCTGCTTACGCCCCAAACGACTGTAGCCCTGACACTATCAAAGAAATTTTATGACACCCTCAGTGCCCGTTAAGGTGAGCTAAAACCTAAGATATCGTGGTAATTTCTGGGGACTTGAATGTACAAGTGGGCAGACATAGCGTATCTGAGACTTATCGGGTGATCGACTTAGATTGCACTCGGCGCTTACAACCAATGAGGGCCGACTGCTTCATGTGACTGCAGATTGCTTTTGTGCACTGCTAACTTCCGAAATAACGGCAGTCGTCTGGTAACATGATGTCATCCAGCAACGTGCCAGCCACGGACCCTGATTGATCACATCATCACGAGCTACCAACGGCGCGGATCAGTAACTAACTGCCACTAGAGTAGATTGTGACCAAACACTCGTCCGGAGTCACTTCTCTCGGCTTTTCATGGTCGTTTAAGAGGGCGGACGGAAGACTTAGTAACGGATGGGCTAGCAGATCCCGAATTTAAACGAACCCATAGGAACCATCTTCTGAACTCTTCCAGCTACCCCACGTTGAATGTCGATTCGTAATGGAGCGAGAGCACCAGGTCATTACACAGTTCAGCGAGTTCTGCCAGTCGCTCGGCGCTACCAGGTCCGCTCAAGCGCCCTATCCCCGATGAGAAATTTCCGTTCCTTGAATCTTGGAGGAATGTTGCCACAGGTCCCGAACATAACTCAGCCCGAATTGTCAGACAGCACCTGACACTCAGCGTGCGCGTCAATCGTGAAGCCTGCTGAACACGGGGGGCTGTGGAAATGAAGAAGGTGAAGAATGCCTAAAATGCTAGATTAGTTCAGTTGATCCCTGTGACTGGTTCTCGGACACTACCTGTGAGCGAAACTATCAAGAGTCAAACTGGTGCGGCCNGACACTCAGCGTGCGCGTCAATCGTGAAGCCGGCTGAACACGGGAGGCTGTGGAAATGAAGAAGGTGAAGAATGCCTAGAATGCTAGATTAGTTCAGTTGATCCCTGTGACTGGTTCTCGGACACTACCTGTGAGCGAAACTATCAAGAGTCAAACTGGTGCGGCCATTTCCAATAAAGGATGCCTTGATAGCCGAACTGAGCACTTTGGAGAATGACTTCGTGGCCACCTTCTGCCGCTCAGTCGGATTGCCAAACTACACCAGAATCCTGGACGGTGAAACTGGAACTCCCCGCGGCTTTAGGGGATTTATGATTGCATATCTCCCCTCGAGTGCCACCGAGCTCCTGGTCCGGATGACCTCCCACCCTCATTAGGGACTGGG